ATGTCCTTGCTTTGACATCTGCAGTAACATATCTACCAAACATACTTTGTAACTTTAATTTTCCATGCCTTTCCAGGAAAATAATTCTTAAATTTCATGACTTTCCAGGTTTTCCATGCCCTGTATGAACCCCACTGTAACAAGTTATCTTCACCAAACAAGTTGGGCTATAAAAGCTAGGGCAATCCTAAATAAGTTTATCTTGCCCACTCAGAGGTTTTGCGTCATCTTTCGTGCTCACAGAGCCAGCCACATAGTAAAACTTGGCATTTTTGGTATTATGAAGAGTTTCCTTATCAATGCCGCTCAGGAAATAACAAAAAAAAATGGTTGCCTGAAGCTGCAAGCTCACGTGCATAGTTACCTTTTTCTGGGCAGCAGCAGTTATCCTTTTTATATCAAAAAATTGCCCAGTATAATATTGTACACCTGAAATAATATAAAAATTAATAATAATACTAATAACAAGAACGAGAAGGAATAACAATAATTAGTAAAATCCAACTAGTGGTCTATTATCAATGTTGCACTCTGATTGGTTGAGCTACTACTAGGCGATATGTTATATAGCCCACTAGTAGCGAAAACTGCCCGCAATTTGGCGGGCAAAAAATCATTTAAGTCTAGCTTTAACTAGCTAAAGTTGTTTTGTCTCAATATTTTGGACCAACTAGTTGGATTTTACTAAAACAATTATTCCTCTCGCCCTCGTGGCCTCTGAGTCAATAGGCCATTCGGCCTTCGGCCTCATGGGCTATTGACTCAGAGCTCATTCGGGCTCAAGGAATAATTGTTAATAATAATACCAATAATAAAATGATGACAATGATGATGATGACGATGCCATAATGATGAAGCCATGTTAACGACTCGAACTAACGAGCTGAATCTACTAAGCATGACAGTTTCTAATGAAATAACTTTAACTTCAAATAATTTGAAAAACGTTATTGCGTTTCTACTGGACAGTGGGAGGGAGGGGAGACAGTAGTGAGTACCCTGAGCTTTGCACATGCATTCACCTCCAAATCACTGTAGCTGTTTATTTTGAGTCCTGTTTTACTCTGTTTGTATCCTTGAAAAATTAAACGAGCTTTCATCAGCCTTTTTAATTACTTCAGTTTACTCACCACTAAACATTACCAGTGCTATTGAATCTCCTTGCTCTTCGATAACTGAAAGAATATCCTCTGTCTTAAGTATCTCCTCTCCCTGGGTAAGGAGGCATCAAAATCAAAGCTTGTGTTACCAACATTTACTTGCATAATATACAAGTTCAAGTATTAAACCATTCAAAGACAAGTCAGTGTAAACTAGCAGGGTTGTCAAAAAGATTTTAAGTAGCAGAAGAATAAGAGAAGGTAGCTGGCATGCTACAGTAGGGAAAGAATATCACTATTGATATGTGTTTCCCAGGTGGGGGAACACATATCACTAGGCATATGTGTTTCCCAGGTAGGGGAACATAAATTACTAGGGATATGAGTTTCCCAGGTGGGGGAACACATATCACTAGGGATATGTGCTTCCAAGGTTGGGGAACACATATCACTAGGGATACGTGTTTCCCGGGTGGGGGAACACATATCACTAGGGATATGTGTTTCCCAGGTAGGGGAACATAAATCGCTAGAGATAATGTGTTTCCCAGGTGGGGGAACACATATCAACGATATGTGTTTCCCAGGTGAGGGAACATATCACTAGGGATAATGTGTTTCCCAGGTAGGGGAACACATATAACTAGGGATATGTGTTCCCCCACCTAAGAAACACATATTCCTAGTGATTTATGTTCCCCTACCTGGGGAACCTAGTGATCTCTATCACTAAGGATATGTGTTTCCCAGGTAGGGAACAGATATCACTATAATTATAGGGATATGTGTTTCCCCTGGTGGGGGAACACATATCACTAACGATATGTGTTTCCCAGGTGGGGAACACATATCACTAGGGATATGTGTTTCCCAGGTAGGGAACACATATCACTATAATTATAGGGATATGTGTTTCCCCAGGTGGGGGAACACATATCACTAACAATATGTGTTTCCCAGGTAGGGAACACATATCATTAGGGATAAGTGTTTCCCAGGTGGGGAACACATATCACTAGGGATATGTGTTTCCCAGGTGGGGGAACACATATAACTAGGGATATGTGTTCCCCCACCTAATAAACACATATCACTAGTGATTTATGTTCCCCTACCTGGGGAACCTAGTGATCTCTATCACTAGGGATATGTGTTTTGCAGGTAGGGAACACACATCACTATAATTATAGGGATATGTGTTTCCCCTGGTGGGGGAACACATATCACTAACGATATGTGTTTCCCAGGTGGGGAACACATTTCACTAGGGATATGTGTTTCCCAGGTAGAAAACGTGCTTCACAAAAAAGAACATGCACATTATGATTAAAACCATTTCTTTTTCTTTTTCTATTTTACAACTTTTTTAATCGTCCATTTTTTTGGCTTCTCTCCAATAATTTACAGGCGTCAAAAACCTTAAAGAAGCAGACGATAGCGCCGGTTGCCCGCACATTTTGACAACCCTGAAGTGGTAACCCTTTTTAAAATAGAATTGATTATTGTTTAGAGTATGTTAGCTAGCATCTGTCTAATGATTATTAACTGCACGTTTGGTGTACAGGCCTGTTTTGGGTACAATATTAAAGTAACTAAGCTTGGCATGTATGATATGAAATCACTGAAATTTGCTACAGTGCTATTCACTCTAGTAGCTCTTACGAATGAGCCTCAGTAAGAGAGCCTGCAGACATCAATAACATCCCGTGTTTTCCACCAAATAATCGGTTAATTTTCAATGAAATCATCACAAATCAAGACTAGCAAGCTCAGAGCAACTACAACAACAGAAACAAGAAAATAAAAAATAAAAAAACTCTAAAGCAGGTTTCGTTGCTGTCATTTCACGACTAACATTGTCAACATTGATTGAAATGCCAAATTCAATCTTCGCTTTAACAGCATCGCCTCATGAATGTTGTTCATCGCAACTTCTGTTTCATTAGAAATACCCATAAACAGGCTCACATAATTATGCTAGCATAATCATACTGCCGTTATCATACCTCCCTAGGCATCACCTCCACTAGTGCATCTACTGGGTCATATCCATGGAAACGTATCTGTGACTGCACAGCATACTGAAATAAAAAAAATAGGGGTATATTTCTGTATATATCACTGACTGTGTCATGATAAATTTAGATTGATTGTACATCGTCAACAGAGAAGGAATGCAAACTGAACATGAACTCACTCAGTTCACTTATGGCAAAACTATAGAATAGTGGTAAAAAAGCTCCTGTTAAGCTGGTCTGCATAGAATTGTTTGAGATTAAACTATTGTGTGTACTAAGGCCATGATTTAATAATTTATCCAAGAAATATGTGTCCTGTAGGGTAAAGGAATTTACTATAAAAAGACATATAGATGTGAAAGAGGTGATAAAAGTTTTTACATGTCTCGTACACAAAATTATTTTAAATAAATTATTTTTACGATATCCAGTGACTTGAAATGGAACACTCACATTGTAGATTGCATTAAGAAAGCAAATAAGCGCCTGTATTTCATTGTTCTCTTGAAAAGGGCTCGTGTTCCCCTTAATGACATTGTGAATTTCTATTGTACAACAATCAGACCTGTACTAGAATACTGCACTCCGGTTTTCCATCACACATTCGCGGCTTTTCTTACTGAGGATATAGAAAGAATTCAGAAAAGAGCACTTTCCATAATTTCACCTGCCACGTCATATCGGGAATTATGCCTTGACAGCCTTGGCCTGCCAACGCTATATGATAGACGCAACGGACTATGTAGACAATTGTTCGATCCCATTACTATCAATCCCAGACATAAGTTATACCACCTGCTGCCACCAAGAAAACAATCCAGCTATAATTTAAGGCTTCAAAAGTTATATAATTGGCCACTTTCCCATACGGAACGTTTCAGATGCTCTTTTGTTTATGCTATGTCCCAGGGTTGCATATAAAGCCCCTAATGTTTCAATTAAAGAAGTCGATCGACTTTATTGTAAGATTTTTATACCTATTTTTTAGCTTTACTACACAAGGTACTTATATGCATATGATTGTAATTAGTTTTATATTTTAACTAATGTTATTTGTAAAATACGCAATTCAGTTTTATGACTGCAAAGTATTTATACAATAAACGATTTATCTATCAATTATCTAAATCACCTTACATGATCTGAAGGGAATGCTTTTGCTTCAATGAGAATTTTGTGTCTCTGAGGTGATGGTCTGTAAAATGGCACCAACAGCAGATGGAGATTTACAGAAAGGGAGTTCATTATTGCAACCTCGATTTCTTTAGCACCTTTAATTAATTAAAGGGTAAACAAACATAATCAACAATTTTTATTATAGCAGTTTCCATTTTTAAAATGGGAACCCACTCTATTGGGTCAAGCTGTGAAAGTCATGACAAACTCTGGTTACAGTTTCTCTGTATGTGAAAGTGGAATGTTGTACCCTCCGCTAAAATGTATACTCAAGACGCAGGTCACCATCCCTGGTTGCTCATATATGTATCAACCGCTTTATATGAGGTACCAGTTTAATAAATTAATATTAAATTTTCCCATCATCAGGGTTTTTCTTCTGGTCCCAGATGTTAAAAAGGTCAACAGTGATACCCACTGGATAAATAATCTCTATCCAGTGGATAGGGCTATCCAACTTTTAAACCTGGGGCCTGATGTTTTAAGCACAATTTTTATCAAAGCCATAGCTTACTACGTCTATTTTTAATATTATATTACACATGGAGATTAGATAAATGTTTAACTGCTTGGCAAAAATTATCTATCTGGGCCTAGGAAAATACCCTTTCTCTTTCCAACCTGGAGTAAATATTCAGTGTCATTGTAATTTCATTTCATGATTGGCCTTTTAAAAAGCCATCATCGATTTGCCAATCAGGATTAAAGGAAATCTGAAAGTCAATTCTGGTAAGTCGTTGAGTCCTGCACTCGATAGGTAGCCTGAGAAAACAGCTGACATTTGGCAACACTACCATGTACTGGTTTCCCGCCAAATGACGTCTGAGAAACGAGCACAGAAATTCCATACCGATGACGCGTCACTTCCCAGATCTGGGTAGTGCTTCTGATTGACTGAATCAAATTTCCCATGCGGGACAACCAATAAGAAGCAGTACCCAGATCTTGGTAGTGATGCGTCATCAGTATGGAATTTCTGCGCTTGTTTCTCAGATGTCATTTGGCGAGGAAACCATTGGTAGCGTCGCCAAATGTCGGCTGTTTTCTCAGGCCACTCCATATGGGGCCCAGAACAAGGATGCCAGTGCTGCTTCCCACACATTACTAACAAGAGTTAGATTACGTTTGTGATGCAGGCTACAATAACAGTTGATTGGCTAAAATGCAGTCACCTCATCACGAGAAGGTCCACAGTACTTAATTAAATACATTAGTCATTGTCTCTTGCTGGTTTCTATTATCTTTCAAACATACAATTCACTTGTACAAAAATTGACACAGGTTGAGGAACATGAATATATACTTACCAACTATTTTTGCACTTTCTGATAAAACAAAGTCTTCAATTATCCACCAAGGTAACTTGCCATGCCAGTGACCATAAACACCCCTAAAGGAAACATTATTGGCATTAAATTTATACTGATCTGATCTGAAACTGCCTAAGAACACAAAGAGGTGATGCATACATGTACTTTCCAGCTGGAAGTTCCTTTTTTTCTGAAAAATGTCTTTTTCACTGCCAAATAGTGGAAGGTGTGAAAACTCTGACTAAATACGAATAAGAAAAATATTTAAACAGGGAGCCCTCGTCACACATGGTTTTCAGTGGGGCCATACATTAAATAAAATAACAGATATAAAAATGCCTAAATATATGAAGATAAAAACTTAAAATCTTTAAAAAACTAATAATTTAAGAATGAAAAAAATAAAAATTGTAAAATACTCCTAATATGTCTTTTAGAAGACAAAATGTCAGAAATGTTTTTATCTTGAATCATTAGATAAAATGTTCCAGTCATTGGCTGCTTGGTAGATAAAACGGTTTTGTCCCCAGGAGTAACGTGACTGAGGCCTACATATGTTCTTGGCCATGGGCTATTGTATTTTATAAAATAACTGAGATAGTACACGTGATCTGATTGGTCAAAAACCTATGGTTTATTATACCGGTAAACCCATAGAAAAAGGCATCCGGACCACGAGCCCCAAACAAAACCGGCTATTGATCTGCAAACAACGATTTTAGAAAGGCAAAAAACAGAACAAGTTACTTACCCAGCCCTTTTTAATATTAAAAGCGTTGGTTTCCACATTTTATTACTGAGCGTCACAATTCGCTACTGCTATAGCTTTGGAAGTTATAAAGTACAAAGCTGAAAAACAGTTTACATTTCACGACGATGCCAAATCGTAGACAAAGACCACAACTGTGTGAATTTCTGGTGTAGAAAGTCTCTAGGAAAACTTAACGATGTGCCAACAAGCAACAAAACGGATAGTTTTAGCATTCTTGATTTATTTTATCTCAAACTTAAATTTCTTAATGAAAGAAATTGTTCCAAAAAGAGATCTCTGATCAAGATATGGTACAAAATCGGCCGCTGTAGGTTGTAAACAAGCTGCCAACGATGATGAAAGATGTCAGAGTTTCGGGCTGGTTTTTTCCAACATTTGCACAAATTATTCGGTGATATCGATGCCATAACCTACCTCAAACCACCTCACTTCACAAATCGACAAATATTAACGCCAATATGTGGCTACGGCAAAGAAACCTTTCTCCACCACTGACATATTTCCATCGGTCGCTGTACCTGCATATAAAGTTACATGCGACAACTTCGCAAATGCAGCCACGTCGTTACCGCAGCATTTCTTGATCATAATAAAGTCCAGAAAACAGATCTTAAACCACTGCGGCTTGTTATAAGTGAATGAAGTCCTCTATTACAATAGCTGCCAGTTCCNAAGTGCTGCTGTTTGTTGTTTGACTGAACTGAGTTTTGAGAAAGTTCAACGCTATTAAATCGTGAGTCATGATTGGCTTATGATGACTTTAGAGAGAAGACGTGACTTGATCACGGTACTAGAACCATATTTTTTACCTAAAATACTCCATTCTACTAAAAGTTATTTTATAAAAGCAATAGACCACACTTTCTATGGGTTTACCGGCGTGATAACCCACTTGGGATGTTGGGAGAACACTCGAAAAGCTTGTAAATCACTCGCCTTCGGCTCGTGATTTACAAGCTTTTCTCGTGTTCTCCCAACATCCTGCGTGGGTTATCACGCCAGTAAACCCATAAAAAGTGTGGTCTATTGCTTAAATAATATCCACACGCTATAAGTAGAGCTGTCTGCATGCATGCATACATGTATTAGAAGTATCCCAGTGTAAAACTTGTGTCCATCTGTGA